TCTCCGAGGTATGCCTGTACAAAGGAAGAGGAAGATGTCTTGGTGACTTGTGGTAGAAGAAACCCTTCTTCTCATACTGAAGCCTCTTCAAGAAAATGGAACAAGCCACAAGAACTTAGATTAACCTGTGGATGTATCACTAGGAATAAAGGCTATCATGGCAATAATTTTTAGTTCTTTACCTTTCTTGATCCAAGGGGGGAGAGGGAAATGACTTGGCACTTTACAAACATAAACTAATTAGGCTGCACCTAGGGAGGCAGTAGTATGAGATCTGTTTACAGGCAATCAGCTCTGAGCAGCATTTCACAGCAGCTACTTACAGCACACAACAATGTCAAATTGCTAGCTAGGGAAAGTAGAGAGGAGGATTATAGACAAGTGAAAGTGTGGTGGTGGTGGGAAGAAGGTCGGGTTTCACCTAAAATGGGTTTTGCATTTCTTTTTTGTGGAAAGGACCCACAGCACCCCAACTAACCATCAGGGCTGCCTATCTCCTCTCTTTCGATTCATAAATGACTGGTAGAAAAATCACTGTCTTCTAAACCACCAGTATGCAGGGACTGTCCTGTCTGAGAAGTGGCCTAAGATCACTTTAGCTTCTAAGATCTGACCCGATCGTGTTGCGGAGCAGCAGGGCTGCAACCCAGAAGAATGTAAACATAAAACAGACACATTATTCCAAGAGAGGCCTGGCTATTTGATTTAAAACGCTGCAATATTTGAGATGTCAAACACCATTCTTCCAATGCCTTCTATTTCGGATGATAAATGTTGGAGCCCATATTTTTCTGCAGTAACAGATTTCACTAATAGTGCTGGCACTGGATCTGGGCAAAGCAGAGTGAAGTAGCTTATTTCGTCAGATGGCAGGTGTCCAAAAGCCAAAAAGATTTCCCAGTGGGTTAAAGCAAGAAGCTGCTTTCTACACAAGGAAATTACACCTTTAATACCATGCAGGGGATAAGGAGGGTTTAAAAACTGCTGTTTTATTTTAATCAAAGGAAGTACAGTTTATTTCTCTGGGAAGATAGTATCTCCACCAGTGTGGGACTTGGAGAGAATTAGCTTTCTATTTTTAACAGTGAATCTTAAGGGCTACAGGCAGGTTCAGGAGATGGATAATGAGAAATGGAGCCCTTTGCCTCTTGGCCTTTGATTCATATTGGTGCCCATTCAACTTGCCTGAAAGTCATTCACATCTTGTATCTTCCCCTACGGGAAATGAGCTTGATCTCAGTCCACTTTCCAGCAGGCAAATGTTCATGACATACAATTATCATCCTTGGCGCTTGTCAGTCGCAGCTAAAGGCAGAGACTGAACTGCCCTCTTACTCCTGGGAGGTGGGCTTCCCTCCCATTTGGTGCATGTTGATGATACGGGAAAGAGAGGAACTCTAAGGCATCTTATTCAGTGGAAAAAGAGCACATTTGGGGTATGTGACTATGGGCTGAAATGTCTGCCTCTAGGTCTCTTGTGCTCCCCTTGGTTCTATCTGCTTAATACAATACAGGAAATAGCAGAAAGGATTGCCTGATGTCTTGGGCTGGCAGAATGAGAATCAGAATAAAAATGACATTTCTTCCTCACTGTGGAGTGGCAAGTCTTGGTCAGTCTCCTGACGCAGCACATTATATTTGCTTCCCATGGCTGGCATTGCCTTCTCAAGGACTGTTGTAGCTGGGGCATGCTTTCTCCATGGCTGTGCATCTGGCCAGGTAAACTTCATTCCACTTTAAACCTACTTGGTCTTGAAGCACAAAGGGGCAGCTAGGATCTTCACACACCCCTCCAACCTGGGAGCATGGGGCGAACAGGGCAATGTGACTGTTAGTAGCATACCTGGGGGGAAGAGGGGGCAACTGGAGCAGCAGCAAGACACAGAGCTGCCTTGCTACACCTCTGGTGGCTGCCACCGCTTTATTGGGGTATCACCAATAAATGACAAATGTGTGAACCCAGGAGACAGATGGGGGCTAAGAGGCTCCTTAAGATGACCCCTCTCCAAGTCTTGCTTAGTGAGGCCCTGCATAGAAAGGAAATCACCACAGAGCCACAGAAAAGTGATTTTGAATGACACCGCCCAAACTGGCTTGCACCTTGGTTACTTTAGTGCCCTGCCTCTCTCTTCCTTGGAGATACAGCCCTGTGGCCATCACCCAAAGACCTGGCCCACGAGCTTACAGCCATGGAGGCAGGGGGCTGTGTTGTCAGGGTGGAGCCCCCTGCTACTGTGCTCAGGCCTGAGACAGAAAGCAGAAGCAGGCGGATCTGTGTCCACCCAGGACAGCCTGGAGGCCATGGGAAGCCAGGGAGTTGTAGGGTGCCTCCCTAGGCTCTAGCTGCACTTTGCCAGGATATGTGTCCAAGTCAGTGCCCGGTGCGTGTGCGGGGAGGGGGCACCCATGGCAGTGCCCAGTGCGTGTGTGTGGCAGGCACATGCAGGACAGTGCCTGACGCATTTGTGGGATGGGGGCACCCAAGGCAGTGCCTGGTGCATGTGTGGGATGGGGACACCCATGGCAGTGCCCAGTGCGTGTGTGGGATGGGGACACCCAGGGCAGTGCCTGGTGAGTGTGTGGGATGGGGACACCCAGGGCAGTGCCCGGTGCATGTGTGGGGAAGAGACACCCAAGGCAGTGCCCGGTGTGTGGGATGGGGACACCCAGGGCCGTGCCCGGTGCATATGCGGGATGGGGGCACCCAGGGCAGTGCCCGATGCGTGTGTGGGATGGGGGCACCCAGGGCAGTGCCCAGTGTGTGTGTGGGATGGGGACACTCAGGGCAGTGCCCGGTGAGTGTTTGGGGAGGGGACACCCAGGGCAGTGCCCGGTGCTGAACCAGGTGGGACAGCTGACAACTGACACCCAGGAAATAGCCAACCTATTAAATGGGTACTTTGCGTTGGTCTTTCATCAACCCATTCCCACCACGGGACAGGGAGGTCCTGGTGAGGGAGATCCCCTGCCCTCCATCAATGCTGACCTCATGAAGGAACACCTTGAGAGGCTGGATACCTTCAAGTCAGCCAGCCCTGACAGCTTACACCCCAAGGTACTCAAGGAGCTGGCAAGCATCATAGCTCAGCCCCTGGCACGGATCTTTGAGAGCTCCTGGTGCTCTGGTGAAGTGCCTGAAGATTGGAAGAAGGCCAATGTGGTGCCTATCTTCAAGAAAGGGAGGAAAGTGGATCCGGCAAACTATAGGCCCATCAACCTGACTTCTGTCCCAGGGAAGATCTTAGAAAAGTTTATTAAAGAGGCCATCCTTAATGGACTGGCTGACGCCAACATCCTGAGGGATAGCCAGCACAGGTTTGTTGTGGGTAGGTCTTGCTTGACCAATCTCATTTCCTTTTACGACCAGGTGACCTATCACCTGGTCAAGGGAGAAGAGATTGATGTCATATATCTTGACTTCAAAAAAGCCTTCGATCTGGTATCCCATGATCACCTCTTGGTGACACTGGCCAATTGTGGCCTTGGGTCCACTACGATCTCCTGGCTGGGAAATTGGCACTGTGGTCGGACCCAGAGGGTGGTAATCAGTGGAAATCAATCGCCATGGTGCCCTGTGACCAGTGGGGTCCCCTAAGGCTCTGTCCTTGGACCCATATTGTTCAACATCTTCATTAATGATGTGGACATTGGAGTCAGGAGCGGACTGGCCAAGTTTGCCGATGACACCAAACTTTGGGGCAAAGTTTCCACACCAGAAGACAGGAGGGTGATCCAAGTTGACCTGGACAGGCTCAGCAAATGGGTGGATGAGA